CCAAAACCTTAGAAAAATTCAAAGTAACACAGGAAACCCACAACCAAGAGATTTTCCAGGTAACGCAGGAAGCCCAAAACCCAAAATTTTTTCAGGCAGCACAGGAAGCCCAAAACCCAAATTTTTTTCATGTAGCACAGAAAGCCCCAGACCCAATTTGTTTTCAGCTAGCACAGGCAGCTCAAAACCCAAATTTTTTCTCATGTACCACAGGAAGCCCAAAACCCAAATTTTTTCTCATGTATCACAGGAAGCCCAAAACCAAAATTTTTTTCAGGCAGAACAAGAAGCTCAAAACCCGAATTTTTTTCAGGCAGCACAGGAAGCCCATAACCCAATTTTTCTCATGTACCACAGGTAGCCCAAAACCCAATTTTTTTCTTATGTAGCACAGGAAGCCCAAAACCCGAATCTTCTTCAGGCAGCACAGGAAGCTTATAACCCAATTGTTTTCATGTAGCACAGGAAGCCCAAAACCAAAAATTTTTTCAGGCAGCACAGGAAGCCCATAACCCAATTTTTTCTCGTGTACAACAAGAAGCCCAAAACCCAAATTTTTTCAGCTAGCACAGGAAGCCCAAAACGCAAAATTTTCTCGTGTACCACAGGTAGCCGAAAACCCAAATTTTTTTTATGTACACAGGAAGCCTAAAACACAAATTTTTTCAGCTAGCACAGGAAGCCCAAAACGCAAAATTTTCTCGTGTACCACAGTTAGCCCAAAACCCAAATTTTTTTCAGGCAGAACAGGAAGCACAACCTAAAATTTTTTCATGTAGCACAGGTAGCCCAAAACAACATTTTCTCATGTACCACAGGAAACCCAAAAACCCAAATTTTTTCATGCAGCACAGGAAGCCCAAAACCCAAATTTTTTTCAGCTAGCACAGGAAGCCCAAAACCCAATATTTTCTCGTGTACCACAGGTAGCCCAAAACCCAAATTTTTTTCAGGCAGAACAGGAAGCACATAACCTAAAATTTTATCATGTAGCACAGGTAACCCAAAACTCAACATTTTTTCATGTAGCACAGTTAGCCCAAAACGCAAAATTTTCTCGTGTACCAAAGGTAGCAGAAAACCCAAATTTTTTTCATGTACACAGGAAGCCTAAAACACAAATTTTTTCAGCTAGCACAGGAAGACCAAAACGCAAAATTTTCTCGTGTACCACAAGAAGCCCAAAACCCAAATTTTTTTCAGCTAGCACAGGAAGCCCAAAACGCAAAATTTTCTTGTGTACCACAGGTAGCTGAAAACCCAAATTTTTTTCATGTACACAGAAAGCCCAAAACCCAAATTTTTTCAGCTATCACAGAAAGCCCAAAATCCGAATTTTTTCAGGCAGCACAGGAAAACAACAATCCAATTTTTCTCTTGTACCACAAGTAGCCCAAAATCCAAATATTTTTCATGTACACAGGAAGACAAAAAACCAAATTTTTTTCATGTACACAGGAAGCCCAAAACCCAAATATTTTTCATGTACACAGGAAGCCCAAAATCCAATTTTTTTTAATGTACACAGGAATTCAAAAAAGAGAATTATTTTCAGGCAGCACAGGAAGCTCATAACTCAAAATTTTTTCAGGCAGCACAGGAAGCCCATAACCCAAAATTTTTTCATGCAGCACAGGAAGCCCACAACCCAATTTTCCTTGTGTATAACAGGTAGCCCAAAACCCAAATTTATTTCAGGCAGCACAGGAAGCCCAATACCCGAATTTTTTCAAGCAGCACAGGGAGACAACAATCCAATATTTCTCTTGTACCACAGGTAGCCCAAAACCCAAATATTTTTCATGTACACAGGAAGCCCAAAACTCAAATTTTTTTTATGTACACAGGAATTCCAAAAAGGAAATTATTTTCAGGCAGCACAGGAAGCCCATAACTCAAAATTTTTTCAGGAAGGAAGAAAGGAAGCTTCTTTAGTTTGCCACGGTAAAAACATCAGTCGATTGCCTAAAAATATTTAAAAGTAAAGATTTACGATTAAAAAGCTAGTTACTGTTTTACATGTTTGCCGTGGAGCCCTTAGTTACAACTTTTCTTACTGTACAAACTATCAATTTCCGTTTTAAATTTTCG